ATATATATATATATATATAGATATAGATAGATAGATATATAGATATAGGTATAGATATATAGATAGATATATAGATATAGATATATAGATATAGATATATATATATAGATATATATATACCAATAACCCGTAATATGATGGTCCTTTTGATTCTTTTATGTGTATTAACTTTTATGCATTTGTAAAAGGAAGCAGGTTCAGTTATGTGTGTTTTGAATTTAACCGGTACCCACATTACAATAAATTGTTGACTAGTGAATAATTGCACCGGAAATAAAAGGCACACGTGTTATCTTCTAGTTTCTTTAATTAGAAGAATTAAGCCTGTATTTTCTACATTTCAATTATTTTTTTCCAACATTCAAAATTTGACTATTTAAAAACATTATTGATGCAAAATAGTTGTTTTAATTAGACATATGCCTTTGTAAATCAATTCAGGAGTTAAATGCATACATGTGTACATATACAGTGTATTATATATTGCCAACAGGCTTAAAGATATTTTTATATATCATATATTCACATTCAAATTTGGCTTTATTGAGGTGGAAAAGAGCCGTGGTCTTTAAACGTGGGCTTGTGCGTCATCATATGTGGTGCTTGTTCACAAAGACTCTTAACTAAACACATTTAAATGGACTACGTTTCAGGTCTGTAACCAGTCAGGGATCCAGCATGCTGTCAGGCACCACCAAGCTTTCCATCCAGAGTCTCACTGCATCACCATCAGCTTGAGCACGTGGAAGGCCTGGTGAGAAATCTCTGCATTTATTGTGAACCGCAAAATGAAAAGCCGAGATTGCACGTCGCACCAATGTGTGTCAACTCTGCCGTGACACATGTCGAGATGTGTGGGCTGACATAGGAATCAACAGGCGTGGACGTCTTGAGTGTCGCATGTCATAAGCTGTAGGTGTGTTGTCTAAAACTCCGACTGATCGTGGCTACCACGATCAGTTTCTAGACCATTAAATGTTATTTTACCCAATTTCATTATTATATTTGATAGTGTGTAGAAATGGTTCTCCAGTAATTCAGTTCTCAAAATATGTTTAATTTCTTGTGTCAGTTTGTTGAGTGTCTTTGATTTCCCCAGTAACTTAAAGCTGTTCTTGTGTCTGCCTGCGGACCCGTCTCTTTGGAACAGGTGTTTTGAATGTAACGAGGAGCTCTCCACACACTGCAACAAGAAGGCTTTGGCTCAGGCCCTGGACTTTTTACAAAAGCACTCTGTCAAGGCAACATCAGGTAAGGTGTTTGGGAACATCTTGGAGGTCTATACACTACTGATGGGAAAAAGAAAAGCTTTTATTAGACACGTGCATCTTCACTGCTGTTTCAGCGAGGCTGAAGTCAGTTCATTTGGAGTTTTATAGAAACATTCCTTTAATTCAGCAGCCTCGTCAGTTATAGCAGAAAAAGATTGGCTTTTAACACAGATTGCCTGTAATGATAATCATATATTTAGCGGCACCGAATTCTTTGTAATAATCTGCAGAAGTGAACCTCAAACAAGGTTTCACGCGCCTAATGTCTTAGTGTCCGCAGCAAACAAATGCACAGGATGCACACAGCACAGTAACACCGTGACTGCACGTCACACTACAAGATCCATGACTGTAATACAGACCAATTGATTTACCTGGTCACACAGGTTCAAAATGACCAGGAATTGACTGCAGTACACCTACTCCCCCTGGTGGCGGTGGTCGTCTGAATCCCTGTATTTCACCTGTGATCAGTGTAGAGACGGCCTGTGTGCGTTATTAGAAAATACTGCAGTGAGACCCCTCTGTGTCAGGTGCATTATTTCTTATGAATGCAGCTACTTCACCTGTGATTTACTTAGCTACTTAGGGCTTGTAGAGCCTTTTTTATGCCTTCTAATGGTTATATAACTAGAATGTATCCGTGACATTGAAATATATATATATATATATATATATATTTCATAATGCATATTGCTTGATTTAGAGGACTTTACCGGTCTTTCCCTGACGGCCTATTTTAGGCCACATGAGCCCTCCTTGCCCAGTCAGTCAACCATATAGATGTAATCCC